GACGGTTCCGTAATTTTACTCCGATTCTTGCCATCTGGAACATGGAAGGTGCATGAGAACGATCATAGGATCCGAATATCAGACAAAGTGATTTGGTCATATTGCCGGTTAAGGCAACATAGATCCCTACAATACAAAAAAGGCAAAAATTTAAAGAAAGAGAGATGCGATTTTGTTAAGCATCAAAGGTTTTTTTTGGGATAGCAGGGAACATGCGTTTCACCATTGGAAAAAGTTTTAGCACAATGCATCATGCTTGCTTCGAATACCTTGTATGGAGATTAATCGCAACGTTGAAGGATAAATTGTTAACACCAATTTTGCTGATAACGATAAGCTCTAACCGTTAGAATTGTTTGTATCAATTTGGAAAAATCCATAAGAAGGAACATTCTAAATTGAATAATTGATGGGACACAAATTGATGCAAATAAAAAACATAATTTACACCGCATAAAAAAAAGCGATCTCCTTAGTCAACCGATCAATTGTTATTGAGAATTTGGATGCAAAGGATATCAACAATTTCCAAAGATCCCTCATTTCGAAGCTCAAGGTCACAATTCATCCGTTCGAAACTTGATATACAACGCTTTAAGCTTATTACACAAAATTAACGTTTGTGAAGTTCTTAACTGCCGTATCCGTCATACCAATATCTTTGGGTTGCCATTGTTGTCAAATGAAAAAATTGGTTTCATTTGGCAAGACGATTCATTTTTCAAAACAAAAAAATTTAAAATTGCCATCTATCCACGGCATCTCCACGGCATATTAAAAAACATCTTGTGTTATGCCAAACAATAGAATGAGAGAATGAGCCCTGAATTCAAAATAAATTTATTTGTTGTTTTTTTTCGCTTAACAAAACGATTTTCTCTTTAAAGTAAGAAAGAATACTTACATTAAAAACACCAACAACAATATAATAATAATAATAATAATAATAATAATGATAATGATAATGATAATAACACTGTAATAATAATATTATTATCAAATACATCTAATAGTCAAATCTAACGGTCGATCGTTTTTTTTTTGTTTTAATGCTTTCTTGGGTTATCTAAATGCCATATAAAATTAGCATCTGAAGGTTTGATCAACAAGCCAAGAATTCCACGATGAAAATTGTTGCCATTTTAGGACCAATTTGCGACGGACGTTAACTTTTCTTTTTTTTTTTTCCTCCAGTATTTCGAGCGGTGATAGAGATGATTAAACTAGTAAATGCGGTAAATTAGAATGGTTCAATGAGGAAAATGTACTATAAATAAATAAATTTTGGACATACGATATTGTTTTTTTTCTTTTTTTAAAATAAAAAATATTCCTACTATCCATCGTCGTTATTGTACAATGAAGCAGGAAAAAAAAAAAAAGATCACTTCATAGAATGTTGATCAGGAATCTCAATGATATCGTAATGAACGAGGGTTAATTAGCGAAACCCGCCCACGCGGAAATTACCCACAAATTCATGATTCATAGGTAATTAAACATGATCCATTAATAATAGGAACCGCTAAGCCTATATGTATTTCAACACTTTTGTCGGATGTTAATGTTTCCCATAACAGGTGTCGATTCTATTGTAAAATTTGTTAACACTCCGTGATTAAGGTATATGATGTGATACGCACAAGCTTAGAATCGGAGCTCATATGGGCTCATTAAACATTGTCATTGTGATTTAGTTAATCTGGGTCACACCTTGTCGTTCCCCATTGACGGCGTATATTCCGCTAACCATTCTCGATAGGGTGATTTTACCTCAACAATCATTATGCTCATCACCTTTGCCTTCGGGCGTGATGCGCATGTTTATTTTTCTTGTCGGAAAAAAGAAAGGAACACGATCCCAATGCTTTCATTCACTCAGTCTGTTTACTTTATTCTCATGATATCATTATTTTAGGATACATGCGTGCCGTAGAAAATTGATGCAATCAAGCTCGCAGAAGGCATGTCGAAACTCCGTAAGTTCCAGTTGAAAAGTTGACAGAGTCCAAATTCAAGTTCGCCGCTGTAATGAGTGTGTGCATACTCATCTCAAAGCAACGTTTGTTTTGAGTGCGAAATTCTTGATTACAATATACCGCGCATGAAATTATTATCTCCTTATGGACGCTGCGTCTGTCAAGGCGTGTGAAGTATCAAATCAAATATGCGGCATGGCGTGTGTACGTTTGTCGCACTCACAGTTTCGTTATAGGAACAGGTAACTTACGATTCTTCATTTCCTTCATTCTTTCTTTCTGACGCTTTCGGGAAAAATGAAAGTGAGCGGATTTTTCTTTCCGTTCGGAGTGGAACCGGTGTTCATGCTCTTGTGTGTGTGTGAGAAGATGATCACGCTAAAAAATCGATGCGAACGAACGAAATTCCGAGGCACCCGTCTATTCCGCCGGTGCCCAAAAAAGTGAGGCAAAACGTCTGGTGTAACACGCCGGTTGGGTGCAACGTTACACGTAACGGCCATAAAAATCTTTATTATCGGAGTTTCGTGAAGGTCATCATGGATTTTACGCAATCATCATTATAATTAGAATCGTGATGCATCTTGGAATGCATGGTCCATACCTTGCAGGGATGGGACTGTGACCTTCTGATTTTTAAAAATAGAAACATCAGCTTACAATGGTCATGTTGCGTAATGGAGGAAGGTGGAACGCAGTAGGAATGTGGCGAGATCATGGAAAAAGTCGATGTGGCACTGTTGAATTCCATTCGCTCACACGCCAAGGCCAGTGCTTATAAAACAATCAAATTTTGACGTTTCAGGTGAAAATTAAATTGTCCCTTAAAATGCCTTAAAGTGTCCATTCAACACAAATTTTATCCTATTCCTCATTCTTGCATCCAACGATTAACCTACACCCCTTCAAAATTTGGTATGATCCAGTTGACCTGTGTTTCCAATAGAGTGTAATATTTACTTTCTTGATTATACCTGATGTCGCTGTTTGGTGAAAAAAAACAAAATAATATAATCCGATTGTGGCGAATCCTAACATGGTTCCGCATTCCAAATTCCCAGTGTTATAATTACAGTATATGATGCAAGAATGAGGAATAGGATAA